TTTTTACATGTAATTTTATTAGTTTTACATTAAACAATTTTACACAATTTTTTTGAGCAAATTCTTTATTTGTTATCTTAAGCAAGATCTACAAATTCAATTATTGATTTCATTTTCTCCTGCATATCCGTTAAAGTTATAAATCGATCATACCAATCCAATAACGGTTCACTCATATCATGTTTCCTTTCTCTAAACATTTTCATAAATTCAACAAAAAATATATCTAAATGATCATTAAGTTTCATGGCGACATTTTTACAATCGTATTTATCCAAAAGACTGACAATAATTGAGTATTTCGGTTCATGGTGGCCATAGTAATAATCAACCATATTGACAAAATGATCCATAGTTTTGTAATAAGATTTCATTTTTCTCGCCGAAGGATCATATTCATGTAATACTATATTAAGCTTTTCCTTAAACTCACGCATTTCGGTTTCACTAATGTCCTCAAGAGCTTCATCTTTAAGTAAATATCGGGTAGTGTTGACAGCATTGGCTGCGTATTTTTTGGGTATGGTCATTAAATTGTCGACAACAAATATTAGCAGTTTTTCGGAGGCTGATGGATTTATGTTCACTACATTTTTGGCCCATTCAATTTCGGCTGAACTGTAGTCCCTAGGTTTACAGTATGTGGTCTGAGGGAGAGCGAATTTTAAAAGCTCGTTATTTAAAATTACTTCATTTAGCTTACTTGCACTAGGATTATGGCAAAAAATATTAAGAACACTTTATGCCATTCCATTTTTTATGGTTTTTGATGTTTTTCTGGACTAACAGCAAATTGAATTTTATTTCTATTTAAATACTTTTTCAATTCATCAATTTGTTTTCAGTTTCATAGGTTATCAGAAAGAAAATATTAGACGTACTTATTTTGTTTATGCTTTGAATGTATGATTTTTATTATAAAAAAAATTTGTTATGATTGTGCTTAATATTTCCAGATGACAATGAAATATTTACTATATTGGGATAGTCCATTATTACTTTTTTTTGTTAAAAATAGTTGTTTTTCACTGGAAACTATACCATTTTCTTTTTCAAACCAGTTATAGTCATGAATTTACTAAACTAATCCCATACGGGTTTCTCGATATCATTTCAACTATTCTCAAACTCCATTGAATATCATGAGATTCTAATTCTAAATTTTGTATTTATTATTTTATAAAGGTTCAAGAGGTTATCTATGAATTGTAGTATAAAACAAATACAATAGTATAATGAGAAGTGGTCGACCATATGATAACCTACAACAGTCATGAGTATCATAGTCTGATCATACATAGTCTAGCGATAGGCTGGTGATAGTCCGGTCATACATAGTCTAGCGATAGGCTGGTGATAGTCTAGTGATAGTCTAGTCATAGTCCAGCCATAGTCCAGTCATAGTCTCGTCATAGTCTAGTGATAGTCTTGTAATAGTCTAGTGATAGTCTTGTAATAGTCTAGTGATAGTCTAGTGATAGTCTAGTGATAGTCTAGTCATAGTCTACTCATAGTCCAGCCATAGTCCAGTCATAGTCTCGTCATAGTCTAGTGATAGTCTGGTCATAGTCTAGTGATAATCTAGTGACAGTCTAGTGATAGTCTAGTCATAGTCTGGTCATAGTCTGGTCATAGTCTGGTCATAGTCTAGTCATAGTCTAGTCATAGTCTAGTCATAGTCTAGTCTATCATAGTCTAGTCATAGTCTAGTCATAGTCTAGTCATAGTCTAGTCATAGTCTAGTCATAGTCTAGTCATAGTCTAGTCATAGTCATAGTCTAGTCATAGTCTAGTCATAGTCTAGTCATAGTCTAGTCATAGTCTAGTCATAGTCTAGTCATAGTCTAGTCATAGTCTAGTCATAGTCTAGTCATAGTCTAGTCATAGTCTAGTCATAGTCTAGTCATAGTCTAGTCATAGTCTAGTCATAGTCTAGTCATAGTCTAGTCATAGTCTAGTCATAGCTAGTCATAGCCTAGTCATAGTCTAGTCATAGTCTAGTCATAGTCTAGTCATAGTCTAGTCATAGTCTAGTCATAGTCTAGTCATAGTCTAGTCATAGTCTAGTCATAGTCTAGTCATAGTCTAGTCATAGTCTAGTCATAGTCTAGTCATAGTCTAGTCATAGTCTAGTCATAGTCTAGTCATAGTCTAGTCATAGTCTAGTCATAGTCTAGTCATAGTCTAGTCATAGTCTAGTCATAGTCTAGTCATAGTCTAGTCATAGTCCTAGTCATAGTCCGAGTCATAGTCGAGTCATAGTCTAGTCCATAGTCTAGTCAATAGTCCTAGTCATAGTCCGAGTCATAGTCTAGTCATAGTCTAGTCATAGTCTAGGCCATAGTCTAGTCATAGTCTAGTCATAGGCTAGTCATAGTCTAGTCATAGTCTAGGCATAGTCTAGTTCATAGTCTAGTCATAGTCTATTCATAGTCTAGTCATAGTCTAGTCATAGTCCTAGTCATAGTCTAGTCATAGTCTAGTCATAGTCTAGTCATAGTCCTAGTCATAGTCTAGTCATAGTCTAGTACATACGTCTAGTCATAGTCTAGTCATAGTCTAGGTCATAGTCTAGTCAGAAGTCTAGTCATAGTCTAGTCATAAGTCTTAGTCATAGTCTAGTCATAGTCTAGGTCATAGTCTAGTCATAGGCTAGTCATAGTCCTAGTCATAGTCTAGTCATAGTCTAGTCATAGTCTAGTCATAGTCTAGTCATAGTCTAGTCATAGTCTAGTAGTCTAGTCATAGTCTAGTCATAGTCTAGTCATAGTCTAGTCATAGTCTAGTCATAGTCTTAGTCATAGTCTAGTCATAGTCTAGTCATAGTCTAGTCATAATCTAGTCATAGTCTAGTCATAATCTTGTCATAGTCTAGTGATAGTTTAGTGATAGTTTAGTGATAGTCTAGTGATAGTCTAGTGATAGTCTAGTCATAGTCTAGTGATAGTCTAGTCATACTCTAGTCATAGTCTAGTCTAGTCATAGTCTAGTCATAGTCTAGTCATAGTCTAGTCATAGTCTAGTCATAGTCTAGTCATAGTCTAGTCATAGTCTAGTCATAGTCTAGTCATAGTCTAGTCATAGTCTAGTCATAGTCTAGTCATAGTCTAGTCATAGTCTAGTCATAGTCTAGTCATAGTCTAGTCATAGTCTAGTCATAGTCTAGTCATATTCTAGTCATAATCTAGTCATAGTCTAGTCATAATCTAGTCATAGTCTAGTCATAGTCATAGTCTAGTCATAGTCTAGTCATAGTCTACTGTTAGTTTGGCCATTATGTTAAGCTATAAAAATTACAATACTGTTCCATATTTGTACTTAACTTATACTGGACTGTAGCACACTGATAATACTGTATTGATCTTTGAAAATGACTGTTTAAATCACATAACTTTAGCCGTGAATATTCACCGTTTATCAGTCATTAGTATTTCAAATTGCAAACTGATAATCGCGCCAACAAATTTAGCAATGAAAAAAATATTGTGTATTTTATTAATCTCTTGGAATTTAATGCAAGTAAGGATACACAGTTCTATTTAATTGTTAAAGAATCTGTTAAAATGATACTTCTTTATTAGTGTTATTCAGCTAAACCCACATCCTTTGAATCCAATAAGGACTATTTAAAGAGTCATGATTTATGCCATCAACGACAAAACTATACTGTCATGGCTCCTGCGGTAAATGATAGCAAAATGGCTCCCTCCGTACAATTGCTGAAAATGACTTTATTTTACCTTGAGGATTCAGCTATAACTTATAACCGAAAAGCCAAAAGCGTTAGTGAACATTTGATTAAGGAGCCAGCTATAAATGAAAATCACTCAGAGGAGGTGCACAATTTCAAGGAAAGAATAGAAAATTTTCTTGAAATTTATGCAGACTGCAATGGAATGGAAGAATTATTTGATTTAATGGATTTATATGCATCAATCACCTTAGAATATTATAAATTGGAGAAGGAGAAGAACCTTACTGTAGATGGCAAAATCATTTTAGATGTTCTCAAGAAATATGACTGTGAAACTCTGAACGAGGAATATATAAGCAACATCTATGTCTTCACTACCCATTTTGCTAAGAAATTCGATGACATTGAAGAGGACTTGAAGAATGAAGAGGGTGAACTTCCCGGTAAAATTATACAATGGTGGAATACGGCCAAGAATGTTAAGGTTTATCAGGATAAATTTCTAGAGTTGATTAAATTTTTGAAATTATATAAAGAAAACAAGTTCGAGTGTCAAAATCAGCTGTGCGAAATCTTTAGTAGCGTTAAGGTTTAACCTAATGTTCAAACAGTTTTCAATAAAATATTTTAAAGTGTGTAAAAATACATCCGTCAAGTGTGCTCTTTTAAATTATAGTCTAGTTATAAATTAGTCATAGTCTAGACTATGACTAGACTATGACTAGACTATAGACTAGACTATAGACTAGACTATAGACTAGACTATAGACTAGACTATAGACTAGACTATAGACTAGACTATAGACTAGACTATAGACTAGACTATAGACTAGACTATAGACTAGACTATAGACTAGACTATAGACTAGACTATAGACTAGACTATAGACTAGACTATAGACTAGACTATAGACTAGACTATAGACTAGACTATAGACTAGACTATAGACTAGACTATAGACTAGACTATAGACTAGACTATAGACTAGACTATAGACTAGACTATAGACTAGACTATAGACTAGACTATAGACTAGACTACAGTCTACACTATAGACTAGACTATAGACTAGACTATAGACTAGACTATAGACTAGACTAGACTAGACTAGACTATAGACTAGTCTAGACTATAGACCAGACTATAGACCAGACTATAGACTAGACTATAGACTAGACTATAGACTAGACTATAGACTAGACGATAGACTAGACTATGACTAGACTATAGACTAGACTATAGACTAGACTATAGACTAGACTAGATACTAGACTATAGACTAGACTATAGACTAGACTATAGACTAGACTATAGACTAGACTATAGACTAGACTATAGACTAGACTATAGACTAGACTATAGACTAGACTATAGACTAGACTATAGACTAGACTATAGACTAGACTATAGACTAGACTATAGACTAGACTATAGACTAGACTATAGACTAGACTATAGACTAGACTAATGACTAGACTATAGACTAGACTATGACTAGACTATGACTAGACTATAGACTAGACTATGACTAGACTATGACTAGACTATGACTAGACTATAGACTAGACTATGACTAGACTATATACTAGACTAGACTAGACTATGACTAGACTATGACTAGACTATGACTAGACTATGACTAGACTATGACTAGACTATGACTAGACTATGACTAGACTATGACTAGACTATGACTAGACTATGACTAGACTATGACTAGACTATGACTAGACTATGACTAGACTATGACTAGACTAGACTATGACTAGACTATGACTAGACTATGACTAGACTATGACTAGACTATGACTAGACTATGACTAGACTATGACTAGACTATGACTAGACTATGACTAGACTATGACTAGACTATGACTAGACTATGACTAGACTATGACTAGACTATGACTAGACTATGACTATAGCTAATTCGGCTATTTTAAATACACCCCTAATATTAATATACATATATTTATGTATATCTGTTTATTCAGTTAAGTCAAAGTGTTTGTTTAAATACTTTGTTATAAACAAAAGATTTAATTTAATTAGGTACTAAAACATTTCGCTTTGATAACCCCTAAGTGATCTTATTTGAAATTAGAATAAAATCTAAATTAATAAAGGTCTAAACAAACTTACTTTGCAAAAATGATAATAGCTCATTTGTTCTTTAAGCAGCTGTTGAACAAGACGTAAAAATAATGACAACGAAAATTATATTGTGTACTTTATTAATAACCTGGTGTTTAGTGCAAGTAAGTAATTTAAATATGATTAATTTGGGTATAATGCTGTCTAAATATTCCTTTCTTAAAGTGGTCCCTAGCAAGACCCACTTCTAGCAATGAGGATTATTTGAAAAATCATGATTTATGCCATCAAAGAAACCAATATGCCGCCATGGCTCCAGCTGAAAAGGACAGCAAATTACCTGCCTCCGTACAATTGCTGAAAATGACTTTATATACCCTGCAGGATATAACCCTGACCTATGCCACTAAAGCCAAAACTATAAGTGAGCTCATGCTTAAAGATCCTGCACTCAAAGAAAACCATTCGAACGAGGTAGAGGAATTCCAAAAGAAAATTGAACAGTTCCTTGAGAAATATTCCGCTTGCAGTGATATGCAAGAATTATTCAAATTAGTGGAGTATTATTCTACTTTCTCTTCGCATTACTATGAAATGGAGGAGAAAAAGAACTTAAGTGCTAATGCTAAAGTTATATTAGATGTTCTCAAGAAATATGGTTCCCAAGAAATGGACGATGAATTTGCAAAGAGTTTCAATGAGTTTGTTTCTAATTTCTCTAAGAAATTCGATGAGTTGGAAGAGGATTTGAAGGGCGAAAAGGGAACTGTAGGAGATAAGATTGTACAGTGGTGGAATAGGGTAAAGAATTTAAAGACCTACGATGAGAAAATGGAAGCATTTGCCGAATATGTAAAATTATATGAAGAAAATTAAGGTTTAAGAAGAAGGAATGTTAAAGAAAAGAATAAAAATTATTTAAAAAATTATATTTCAATGTTTATTTAAAAATTTTTAGTTAAAACATTATTCTAATTTTGTCAATTTAGTAAATTAATATTAAAGTGAATTTTATATGAAATTTAAATAATTAATAATACATTATAATATCACTATAGTGTGTTATAATTCAATATAATGATATTGTATAGTATTATAATCCCATTTTAATGCATTACAATTTATTATAATGTATTATAATGCTTGTTTATCCCTTATAATTGCTTTCTTATCTATTATTATATATTATAACATATTATAATATCATTATAATTTATTATAATTGTATTACGATCCATTATAATTATATAATAAGGTTTTGAAATATATTATTATTAATTATAATTAATTATAACTTATTATAATATATTATAATGGTAAAGTATGCTTTATAATCCCATTTAAAGGTATTATAATATATTATAACATATTATAATTCATTATAATTATATTATAATACCACTGAAATCCATTATAATGCATCATAATTAATTATAAAGTATTATAATACTTTAGTTAGCATTATAACCCCATTATAATAAATTATAGTGTGTTATAATCCATTATAATGATATTGTTATCCCATTTTAATATATTATAATTTATTATAATGCTTTTCTGTCCTTTATAATTGCCATATAATCTATTATTATATATTATGACATATTATAATATCATTATAATGTATTATAATTCCACTATAATCCATTATAATAACATAAAAAGGTTTTGAAATATATTATTATTATTAATTATAATGAATTATAACTTATTATAATACATTATAATGGTAAAGTATGCTTTATTATTCCATTTAAAGGTATTATAATAAATTACAACGTATTACAATTCATTATAATTATATTATAATACCACTGTAATCCATTATAATGCATTATAACTTATTACAAAGTATTATAATACATTATAATAGTATAGTTAGCATTATAAACCCATTATAATAAATTATAGTGTGTTATAATCCATTATAATGATATTGTAATCCCATTTTAATGTATTATAATATATTATAATGCTTTTTTGTTCCTTATAATTGCCTTATAATCTATTATTATATATTATGAAATATTATAATATCATTATAATATATTATAATTGCATTATAATAACATAATAAGGTTTTGAAATATGTTATTATTAATTATAATGAATTATAACTTATTATAATACATTATAATGGTAAAGTATGCTTTATAATCTCATTTAGAGGTATTATAATATATTATAACGTATTATAATTCATTATAATTATATTATAATACCACTGTAATCCATTATAATGCATTATAACTTATTGTAAAGTATTAAAATACTTTAGTTAGCATTATAACCCCATTATAATAAATTACAACATGTTATAATCCCAATATAATATTTATAACAGTGCTATAATCGGTTATAATTGCATTATAATATGTTTTAATGACAGAATAGGCATTCTAATACAATTATAACGTGTTATAATTCATTATAATTGTGTTATTGTCTATTATAATGGTATTATAATCATTATAATGGCATTATAATTGCACTATAATTAATTATTATGTATCAAAATAATTTATTTTACCGTTATAATGTATTATAATGCTTTATGATCTATCACAATTGTATTAAAATGTATTATTATTTCATTATAATCAACTATAATACGTTATAAATGTATTTAAATTAATTATAATTTATTATAATTTTATAATTTGTTTTTGAATCGAAATTAAAATTTTTCTGTTATACGATTAATTTTTTTCATAATTAAACCCAAAGATACACCATTTCCAGCTGTTCAACTTTTTGCGTCTGATTTGTCATATTTATCAAATTCTCAAACCTCTCGATTAAGGGTTTTCGTTGTCTAAACTCTTCTTCATCCAAAGACGACTTCAATTGTTGATATTTTTCAAGCAGATCCGTATCCACGAAAACAATAAATTTCAATTCATAATCAGATAGAAATTCACGCAATCCATGATTATTAAATAGGCTTCTAAACACTACTTGATACGTTATTTTAATATCCTTGTTATAGTAATATTTTTCCAATATATTAACGCGAAATAACTTCAGTAAATTATACAATTCGCGAATATCATGATTATTTTCACATTTACTTAGAAACTCATTTATATCGTAAACAAATTGTTCACGAAAAGCCGGGCTAAGTTGTGACAACGCGGGATCTTTAATAACAGCTTTGCCAATAATGTAAGCGTGATTGGAGTAAAAGATAAAAAAGTTTTCTAGCTTATTGCGTATATAAGCTAAAAAGCGATTTGCTGGTGATATGATTACACTGGTGAATTGTTGAAACGAATTATAGTGACACTTATAATCCTGGCACTCTCTCAAATCGTTGTACCACTTCAATAATGCCTGACTTTGCTTAGAGTAATCGGGCAAAAGTTCATTCTTTAGCTCTTCAAATTTGGGTAGAAAATATTCTTTAATAAATTTTTGAAATTTAACTTCATATTCATCACGCAACTCATCATAATGTAATTTTCTCAATAGTTTTACTATATATTGAAAATCCTTATTGGTGGTGGGTTCCTGCTGATAGTATTGTATGGTAGTTGTTATAAATTGTGTTAGCAATTCATTGTTTAGATCAAAATGTTTGTACAAATCGTAGTTATTTAAATATTCGGTAATATTAGTTTTAAATTCTCTCATTAGGGGTGTTTTAGCCAGTTGTATGTTTGAATCTTGTAGAATTTTTTCACTTATACCTTTAGCTTTATCACTAAACTCTTTGGCAAACAATTCTAAGTTATTTTCGTAGTATAGAAAAAGTTTATCCCTGGCTGGGATGATCTCGGTTGAAGCTGAAGCTGTGCTCGCCAACACCTATTATTAAAGTTACGAAAATTAGGGTGTTTCGTTTCAAAATAAATGTTTTCAAAACTTACTTGTATCAGACCCCAGATTATGGCCGTGTATAGCTTCATTTCTCTACTTTTTAGTTTAATCTTAATGGCTCAACTATTAATCGAATAATGTGGTTATTTTGTTTAATCATCGATTTTTATACAGTTTGTTTTTGTAAAAAGATTATTTAAAGAATATTGTTTAGTCAACATGCGGTTGATTACAAAATATAGTACACAACTATTGTGTGGTTTATACTTAGTACATGTGGATCAGACAGAACATTCTTGAAGAGCCGAAAGTAAGAATACCTTAATACAGGGTCACAAACCTTTAAGTAAAATTTTGGAACTAACTAAACTAACAAACTGAACAAACCCCAGAAACAAACAAAAAACAAACAAACAACAAACAAACAAACAAACTAACTAACTAACTAAATAACGAACGAACTACTAATAACTAACTACTAACTAACTAACTAACTAACACTAACTAACTAAACTAACTAACTAACTAACTAACTAACTACTAACTACTAACTAACTAACTAACTAACCTAACTACTACCTAACTAACTAACTAACTAACTAACTAACTAACTACTAACTAACTAACCTAACACTAACTAACTAACTACTAACGAACTACTAACTACTAACTAACTACTAACCTCCTAACTAACTAACTAACTAACTAACTAACTAACTAACTAACTAACTAACTACCTAACTAACTAACTACTAACTAACTAACTAACTAACTACTAACTAACTAACTAACTAACTACTAACTAACTAACTAACTAACTAACTAACTAACTAACTAACTACTAACTAACTAACTAACTAACTAACTAACTAACTACTAACTAACTAACTAACTAACTAACTAACTAACTAACTAACTAACTAACTAACTAACTAACTAACTAACTAACTAACTAACTAACTAACTAACTAACTAACTAACTAACTAACTAACTAACTAACTAACTAACTAACTAACTAACTAACTAACGAACTAACTAACTAACTAACTAACTAACTAACTAACTAACTAACTAACTAACTAACTACTACTAACTAACTAACTACTAACTAACTAACTAACTAACTAACTAACTAACTAACTACTAACTAACTAACTAACTAACTAACTAACTAACTAACTAACTAACTAACTAACTAACTACCTAACTAACTAACTAACTAACTAACTAACTAACTACTAACTAACTAACTAACTAACTAACTAACTACACTAACTACTACTAACTAACTAACTAACTAACTACTAACTAACTAACTAACTAACTAACTAACTAACTAACTAACTAACTAACTAACTACTACTACTAACTAACTAACTAACTAACTAACTAACTAACTAACTAACTAACTAACTACTAACTAACTAACTAACTCACTAACTAACTAACTACTACTAACTAACTAACTAACTAACTAACTAACTAACTAACTAACTAACTAACTAACTAACTAACTAACTAACGAACTAACTAACTAACTACTAACTAACTAACTAACTAACTAACTAACTAACTAACTAACTAACTAACTAACTAACTAAACTAACTACTAACTAACTAACTAACTAACAACTAACTAACTAACTAAACTAACTCAACTAACTAACTAACTAACTAACTAACTAACTACTAACTAACTACTACTAACTAACTACTACTAACTAACTAACTAACTAACTAACTACTACTAACTACTAACTAACTAACTACTAACTAACTACTAACTAACTAACTAACTAACTACTAACTAACTAACTAACTACTAACTAACTAACTAACTACTAACTAACTAACTAACTAACTACTACTAACTAACTAACTAACTACTAACTAACTAACTAACTAACTAACTAACTAACTAACTACTACCTAACTAACACTAACTAACTAACTACTAACTAACTACTACTAACTACTAACTAACTACTAACTAACTACTAACTAACTAACTAACTAACTAACTAACTAACTAACTAACTAACTAACTAACTAACTAACTAACTAACTAACTAACTAACTAACTAACTAACTAACTAACTACTACTCACTCACTAACTAACTAACTACTAACTAACTAACTAACTAACTAACTAACTAACTAACTAACTCACTCACTAAGTATAAAAGGGGACTTTTTGGTACTTTTGGTAGGAAACCCAAAATACTTCTTGGGTTTTCTATAATATTGTAGAGACCGCAGTAAATGCGAGTAAAATGGGGAACTTTTTTTGTACTTTTTCGTTCTTCAAAAGGTACTTTTGGAATTTTCTATAATATTGAAAATTAAGCATATAGAGCCAGGAGTAAATGAGAATTTATAAATTTATAAAAGGATTTTTTGGTAATTTTTCGTTCTTCAAAAGGTACTTCTCGAATTTTCTATAAGGGGGGACTTACCTAAACTGACAGTACCTGAACTGTTTCGTTTCCTAACTGGTATTTTTTATTTTTAAAATACGCACTATGGTGAAGGGTATATTAGATTTGGCATTATATTAATATTGTAATGTATTTCTATCCATTATAATTAAAAGTATGCTTTTTTTTTGCTCCAGAGGGGGCGGTTTTTCCTTATTGAATATAATTTTAAATTTTTTTTATTATCAAACATTTTAATTATTTATTATTGGATTTATTTTAACAACTTTTAATAAATTTTCAATTAAATTATGCAACTACTTTCCTAAATTAAATCCATTCATTTAAATTTGCAAATTCTTTAACTCTTTCCGCATAACTGCTTAAATTTAACAAGTGCTCAAACCATTGGAATAAGGGCTTCTCGCGCAACAATTCTTCTGGATTTAGTGAAACTTTAAATTCTTGAAATTTAGCATAAAGACCTAATTCAAGAAATTTATTGAATTTTAATTGATAATTATACTGAAACGTATTAAGTTCCTGATTATTGAAGATTTGCTCCAATAGTTGGCGATCTCTTAAGGACATCTCTGTATTGTAGAAATATTTTTGTGAGATATTATTTTGGAAAAATTCCATTAAATCATATAATTTTTCAACATCTTGATTACTTTCATAGTTTTCCATGAAATCATTAATATCTTTAGCGAATTGTTGACGAACAGCTGGGCTAAGTTGTATAAATAAGGGATCTTTTAATAAGGCTTTGCTTATATTGTAAGCAGTATTGGAGTAGTAGATATTAATATCCTGTAGCTGTTCTCTTATATACTGCAATAGTTGTTGTTTGGGTGAGATGATAACAGTATAATGTTTCAAATCATTATACCAGTTTAATAACTCCACACTTTGCTTTGATTTAGAGGAGAAAAGTTGCTTCTGAAGTTTTTCGAATTTGGGTAGAAATTTTTGTTTAATAAGTTTTTGAAATTTTAACTCATATTCATCACATAACTCATCATATTGTAGCTGTTTCAAGAGTTGTAATATATATTGTGAATCCTTATTAGGGCTGTGATCCTGTAGGTGGTAGTGTATAGTGGTTTTTATAAATTTCGTTAGCAAATCGTTGTGAAGTTGATGACGCTGATAAAAATCGTAATTATATAAAAATTCTGTTATATTCTTCTTGAATTCCCTAATTAGTGGGGTTTTAGCTTGTTGTATTTTGGGATCTTGTAGTAGTTTTTCACTCAAATATTTAGCCTTTTCACAGGATTCTTTTGCCAATAATTCTAATTCATTTTCATAAAATAGCAATAGTTGTTCCTGGGCTGTAGTCGGCTGTTGGTTAGTGCTATTGGGGGCTGCACAAGTTTTGTTGGCGCAAAGCTAGTTTCAAAGAGAGAATTTATTTTGTATAATTGAATTTTGTTTTGATCATATAAAACTTACTTGTATTAAGCCCCAGATTAGAGCAGTGTATAACAGTTTCATTATTACTTTTATTTACTCGTAATGCCTCTACTACTTGTGGAAAAATACATTGCTTTAGCTTTTATACAAATTGTAAAAAAAAAGTATTTTTAAAGAATATTTATAGAGTGGTTGGTCAAATTTGTGGTTAAATTATATATAAATATAAATACTTCAAAACGATATTCTATTGATAACACCGCATGCAAAACAAGCACACAGTACAGAGTCAGAGTAGAATATGTTATAACTGTTATAATAACATTTTAATAAATTCTAAAGATATTATAACTTACTGTAATTCATTACATTATATTATAATGACCTGTAATATCATTAGAATGTATTATAATTTATTTTATTGTCATTATAATAGATTATAATGAATTTTAAATAAATTTAAATCTTTTATAATGTAAAATAATGTCTTAAAGTCCATTATAATTCATTATAATACATTATAATGTATTATAATTCACTTCAATGTCATTATAGGACATTACAAATTCTATTATAATTTATCATATATCATTATAATTCATTATAATATAATTATTATAACTTACTGTAATCCATTACATTGTATTATAATGACCTGTAATATCATTATAATGTATTATAATTTATTTTATTGCCATTATAATATATTATAATAAATTTTAATTAAATTTAAATCTTTTATAATGTAAAATAATGTCTTACAGTCCATTATAATTCATTATAATACATTATAATGTATTATAATTCACTTTAATGTCATTATAGGACATTACAAATTCCATTATAATTTATTATATATCATTATAATTCATTATAATATCATTATTATGCATGTTAATCCACTCGAATGTTTTAAGGTCCATAATAATTCAACTTTTTTTATTATAATATTATTATAATACCATTATAATGTTATACTAACTATTATAATATCAATGTTCGGTAATAGAACCCATTGATATATATTAAAGTACATTATAGTATCATTATAATCTATTATAATATCATTATAACGAATTATAACACATATTATTTAAATATGTTGTGCATCATAATACCATTATAATGTTTTATTATGCATTATAATACATTAAATCCATTATGATTAAATATTTTTTCATTATAATGACTTTATAGTGTATTATAATTTATTTATTTGTCATTATAATAGATTATAATACATTTTAATTAAATTTTAATATGTTGTAATGTACTATAATAACATTATAATGTGTTACAGTTCATTATAATATCATTATAATATTTTATAATTCATTTAATTTTCATTATAATAGATAACAATAGGTTCTAATTAAGTTTAAATCTGTTATAAAGTATTATAATACCATTATAATATATAAATATCCATTATAACCTATTATTGTGCATTGATTTCGTCCATTATAATATCATTATAATATATTATAATTTATTTTATTGTCATTATAATTGATCGTAATACATTTTAATCAAATTTAAATCTATAATAACGCTTTATTTTGTTTTACAATTCATTATAATGTCATTATAATATATTAAAATGTGTCATAAGAAAATATAATAGATTTTAGTATATATTTTTGTGTATTCCATTATAATGCCTTATAATAAAATATAATTAGTTATAATCCAGAATTGTTCATTATAATATCATTATAATGCATTATATTATCATTATAATGCATTATAATATCATTATAATGCATTATAATATCATTATAATCAATTATAATGCCATAAAAATATATTATAATTATTTTTAATACATTATAATAGATTATAATACATTATGACAGAGCCAATTTTCACTATTTAGGTTTCTTTAAGTTTAACCAATGTTGAACATATAAATAACAATTGCGGTAGTATGAAAACAATTAAAAACTTGTATTTATATTAGTTTTACTCTAAAAACCAATTAATGCTAAAAATGTAATGAAATCAAAGTCTTATTTAGCAGGAAATCCACATAATTCTTGGTGAATTTATATTTTTCTATATAATTGGAAAATTGTTCCACGAATTTTTGTGCTTACGGTCATATATTTATTGACCAAAAACTGTTCTTTAAAAAACTTCTTATACTATAGACAATAAAGTATAAAAGCCTTACTTTTTAATCAAATAAAATTATTACTTCGTGAGTAGTTTCGCTATAAAGATTGAAATTGTATAACTAAAAAAATGAAACTTCTATATCCTGCCATAATTTGGGGCCTTTTGCAAGTAAGTTTAAACAAAAAATATTATAAAATTTATAATAAATAAACAATAAATCCATAAAATTTTTAAACAGTTATTTGCAGTAAAGCCTTTGAAAGCCTCAACCACGCCTACTCAAACCATCTCAGCCAAGGAGCAACTTTTAGAATACTATGATAAGGAATTGCAATTGTTGGGCAAGGTGTTCAGCGAAAAGGCTAAAATTTTAGTGAAAATTTACTAAAGGATAAGTTACTACAACAGGCCTCTACGCCTACTATAAAAGGATTTAAACTGAAAATAACCAACTTTTTAGATAACTATAACATTTATAGGCGTTATAATCTTAATATGCCATTACTATGGCAATTTGTGGTACCAACTATGCATTTTTACCAACAAGAAACAAAGCTCAATAAGGATTCACAAGATATTTTTAATTTATTAAAAAAACTACAATATGATGAGTTACGTGATGAATATGAAGTTAAATTTCAAGAAGTTATTAAACAAAAATGTCTACCAAAATTAGAAGAACTTAAGGCACAACTTCTAACGAGCAATTTAAATAAAAATACCCAGCTATTAAATTGGTATGATGATATTAAAAGGTGTCACGATTATGAATGCTATGATGAACAATTGGATGATTTATATAATATATTAAATACACCACATGATGACCTATTGGATTATATACTAGGAAATCTAGACAAGAAATATATAAACTACATCATTAAAGCCAACAATATAGCCAAGTGGATTTTAAAAGATCGTAAGTTAGCACATCTCTCACCCCGCGTAAGACAACAACTAACTAACAATATCAAGAACTTTATTAAGAAATATGAAAGCGGTCATGATATAGATCAAATTCATAACATAATTTTGGATTTCTATAGCAATATATTATTGAAATTTTACTATAATAAGGATTTACCCACAAAAGATCGTCAATTGTTAGTGAATATTTTCGCTCAAGATGGTTTTGCTGAATTTGATTCTAATTATCAATTGAAATTTAATAATTTTGTAAATACTGGACTTTTGAGACGATTTGAAGAGTTTAAAGCTGCCTTAAGTCAAGCAGAATTGATGCGTGAGCAGTCCTTATTAAGATGGTTTGATCACCTTAAAGGTTTAACCAGTTATGCCGATAGCGTGGTTGAATTTGCAAAGTTACAAACGTTACTTAAGAGAATTTAAATTGAAAATATTTTTATATAATTCTGTTGCTTAAAATAAAGTGGCTTATGGCTTATCGATTCCTTACTAAAACATGTTTTTAAAACTCGGCTGCAGATGTTATAGATCAAATCGAGTAAATAGCATCATAGTTTGATTTTAGGATTCAAAAATTGGTCTATAGTCTGAAGTATATATTGGTCTATAGTCTGGAGTATAGATTGGTCTATAGTCTGGAATATAGCTTGGTCTATTGTCTGGAATATAGATTGGTCTATAGTCTAGAGTATAGACTAGACTATAGTGTGGACTATAGACTGGAATATACTGTGGACTAAAGTCTATATTTGGGCTATAGACTGGAATAAAGTCTGGACTATAAACTGGACTATAATCTGGACTATAAACTGGACTATAGCCTGGACTATAGTCTGGCCTATAATCCGGAATAAAGACTGGGCTATAGACTAGACTATAGACTATAATATAGACTGGATTATAGACTGGGCTATAGACTAGACTATAGACTATAATATAGACTGGATTATAGACTGGACTATAGACTGGACTATAGACTGGACAATAGACTGGACTATAGACTGGACTATAGACTGGACTATAGACTGGACTGTAGACTGCACTATAGACTGGACTGTAGACTGCACTATAGTTTGGACTATGGACTGGACTGTAGTCTCTATTAAAGAATGGACAATAATGTAGGCTATAGACTGGCCTATAGTCTGCCTTATAATCTGGACTATATACTGGACTGTAGCCTGGACTATAGATTCGATTATAGTCTGGACTATAGACTCTACTATTCTCTGGACTATAGACTGGGATATAGTCTGTACTATAGATGGACTATAAACTGGACCGTAGTCTAGACTATAGACTTGATTATAATCTGGACTATAACCTGGAACATAGTCTAGACTATAGACTCGACATTAGTCTGGTCTATAAACTGGGACATAGTCTTGTCTTTAGACTTAACTATAGTCTGGATTATAGACTGATATTTAGTCTGGTCTCTACATTTGACTGTAGACTGTTCTATAAAAATCTGGTATATAGACTATACTGCAGTCAGGACTATAGTCTTTACTGTAGTCTGGACAATAGTCTAGATTATAGTCTGGACTGTAGTCTGGACTATACTCTATACTACACATATATTATTCTTTGCCCTAGAGTACAGACTGGACTATAAACTGGAATATTGTTTTCTCTATAGACTGGACTATTGTCTGAATAGTGTTGGAATACAGAATGGACTATAGTCTAGGCTATAACCTTGACTATAGTCTGGACTGTGTTCTGTACAATAGTCTAGACTACAGACTGGGTTAGAGGTTGTATCATGGTCTAAAATCTAAACTAAAGTCTATACTATTGCCTCGAATGTAGGCTCATTGGTAATCTGTAATATAGAAAGAAATACAGTCTGGACTATAGTCTGGACTTTAGATGATAATAGTCTGTACTTAAGTCTGAGAATAGACTGGACATATCTGACTATAGACTGAATTGTAGATCTAACAATAGACTAAATTATATTGCAGACAATAGACTGGACTATAATCTGGACTGTAGATTGGACTATGAGTTTAACTATATTCTGAACGGTAGTCTGGACTACAGGTCTGACTATAGATTGGTCCATAGGCTAGACTATAGTCTGACTGGAGTTCATTCAGGACTAAAAACACTTCTGTATTATAGACTGGACATAGGCTGATATATAGTGTTAAATATAGTTTTAACTATGGTCTTGCTCATATATAGTCAAAAACATTTTCAAGAATATAACCTAGGCTATAATCCAGAATATGAGTGATTTTCACTTCAATTTTAAAAAGTTATTAGTAAATAAAACGTTCGACCGAAGTCGCTTTATTTTTAACCACAAAAACATATATAATAATTTCTTTACAATGACTTTTCTTGGAACTTAAATTCTTGTTAGTACCGTCGGCAATTTGGCAAATTCAATCACACGATCAGCATTACTGGTTAAACCTTTTAGGTGATCAAACCACTTCAAAAGTGGTTGCTCTCGCTTCAGTTCTTCTTGATTTAAGCTTGATTTAAAATCATCAAAATGTTTCACAAGACCAGGTTTAATAAAATTATTAAATTTCAATTGATAGTTAGATTCAAATTCAGCATAACCGTATTGATCAAAAATGGTCTTTAACAATTGACGATCTTTTTCAGGCAATTCCTTATTATAGTAAAAATTCTTTAAAATATTATTATGGAAATTCATAATGATTTTATAGATTCCATCAATACTGCGACTTCTTTCAAATTTCTTAATAAATTTGTGTATATAGTTGAGTAAGTGTTTTCTTACTTGAGGAGTAAGTTGTACTAATTTGCGATCTCTTCGTATGGACTTGGCAAGATTAATAGCTTGGCTGGTATAGTAAAGATAAATATTATCAATATTTTCCAAGATATAATCCAACAGTTCATCTTGTGGTGTATTGATTACTTCATATAAACGATTCAATTCTTTATCATGACATTCATAATCCTGACACTTTTTTATATCGTTAAACCAATTATGTAAGGCCTCATTGGTTGGCAAAAGTTGTGTCTTAAGTTCCATAAATTTGTTGAGCAATTTTTCTTTAATAAGTTTTTGAAATTTTAACTCATATTCATCACGTAGGTTATCATAGCCTTGCTTTTTTAACAAATCCAAAATATATTGTGTATCTTGATTAGGGCTTCTTGTTTCCGGATGGTAATACTTTATGGTGGTAACTATGAATTGTCTTAGAAATTGCATGCTGAGATTATAACGCCTGAAAAGGCGATAGTTATGCAAAAAGTCGGTAATATTCTGTTTAAATTCTATAATCGTGGGCGTAGAGGCATATTGTAGTAATTTATCCTTGAGTAACTTTTCACTGAAATCTTTAGCCTTTTCTGTGAACTCCTTGCTCAAAATTTGCAATTCCTTTTCATAGTATTCTAATAGCTGTTCCTTAGCTGATATAGGTTGAGTAGGTGTGGTGGAGGCCTTCAAAGGGTTTACTGCCAACAACTTTTTTAACATTTAAGGGATTTATTATTGTTATATTAAATTTAAAAATACTTTTTTTAACTTACTTGCATAAGACCCCAGATTACAAAAGGATATATTAGATTCATTATTGATCATTACAGCGCAACTACTTCCGAAATAATCAATTTATTTAAAATAAAGTCTAGCTTTTATACTTTACTATCGATAGTACTTTTTGATCAATGTTTGGCCGCAGGCACAAAGATTCGAGGAAATATTTTCTATTTATATTGAAAGCTATAAAGTTATTAAGAATCATGTGGAATTTCTTTTCAATGTATATAATTTTAACGCTAAATTATGATCAAAATAAAACAAGAAAAGTTTATAAAATAAAGGTTTTAAAAAATGAACTATTTATTCATTCGACCGCAAATTCTTAACATAATATCCATACTTATTCGCAAATCTAAGTATAAGAGATGTTATTGGCTAACTTATCAAATTGTATTATATGGACATGGATAATAGTCCAGACTGGAGATTTAATTCAATGCATGTAGCTTATACTCCGGACCGTAGTCGTCTTCCAGACTATAGTCAGTCTATAGTCTAGGCCATAGTCTCTAGTCTATAGCTAGTCTATAGTCTAGTCTATAGTCTCTCTAGTACTATAGTTCTTAGTCTATAGTCTAGTCTATAGTCTAGTTATATTCTAGTCTATTAGCTAGTCTATAGTCTAGTCTATAGTCTGTCATAGTATATTTCTATAGTCTAGGTCTATAGTCTAGTCTATAGTCTACTAGTCTATAGTCTAGTCTATAGTCTAGTCTATAGCTAGTCATAGTCTATAGTCTAGTTATAGTCTAGTCTATAGTCTAGTCTATAGTCTAGTATAGTCTAGTCTATAGTCTAGTCTATAGTCTAGTCTATAGTCTAGTCTATAGTCTAGTCTATAGTCTAGTCTATAGTCTAGTCTAGTATAGTCTATAGTCTAGTCTAAGTCTAGTCTAGTCTATAGTCTAGTCTATAGTCTAGTCTATAGTCTAGTCTATAGTCTAGTCTATAGTCTAGTCTAGTCTAGTCTAGTCTATAGTCTAGTCTATAGTCTAGTCTATAGTCTAGTCTATAGTCTAGTCTATAGTCTAGTCTATAGTCTAGTCTATAGTCTAGTCTAGTCTAGTATAGTCTAGTCTATAGTCTAGTCTATAGTCTAGTCTATAGTCTAGTCTATAGTCTAGTCTATAGTCTAGTCTATAGTCTAGTCTATAGTCTAGTCTATAGTCTAGTCTATAGTCTAGTCAGTCTAGTCTATAGTCTAGTCTATAGTCTAGTATAGTCTAGTATAGTCTAGTCTATAGTCTAGTCTATAGTCTAGTCTATAGTCTAGTCTATAGTCTAGTCTATAGTCTAGTCTATAGTCTAGTCTATAGTCTAGTCTATAGTCTAGTCTATAGTCTAGTCTATAGTCTAGTCTATAGTCTAGTCTATAGTCTAGTCTATAGTCTAGTCTATAGTCTAGTCTATAGTCTAGTCTATAGTCTAGTCTATAGTCTAGTCTATAGTCTAGTCTATAGTCTAGTCTATAGTCTAGTCTATAGTCTAGTCTATAGTCTAGTCTATAGTCTAGTCTATAGTCTAGTCTATAGTCTAGTCTATAGTCTAGTCTATAGTCTAGTCTATAGTCTAGTCTATAGTCTAGTCTATAGTCTAGTCTATAGTCTAGTCTATAGTCTAGTCTATAGTCTAGTCTATAGTCTAGTCTATAGTCTAGTCTATAGTCTAGTCTATAGTCTAGTCTATAGTCTAGTCTATAGTCTAGTCTAAGTCTAGTCTATAGTCTAGTCTATAGTCTAGTCTATAGTCTAGTCTATAGTCTAGTCTATAGTCTAGTCTAAGTAGTCTATAGTCTAGTCTATAGTCTAGTCTCTAGTATAGTCTATAGTCTAGTCTATAGTCTAGTCTATAGTCTAGTCTATAGTGTAGTCTATAGTAGTCTAGTTAGTCTATAGTCTAGTCTATAGTCTAGTCTATAGTCTAGTCTATAGTCTAGTCTATAGTCTAGTCTATAGTCTAGTCTTAGTCTAGTCTATAGTCGTCTATAGTCTAGTCTAGTTAGTATAGTCTAGTTAGTAGTTAGTTAGTTAGTTAGTTAGTTAGTTAGTTAGTTAGTTAGTTAGTTAGTTAGTAGTTAGTTAGTTAGTTAGTAGTTAGTTAGTTAGTAGTTAGTTAGTAGTTAGTTAGTTAGTTAGTTAGTTAGTAGTAGTTAGTTAGTTAGTTAGTAGTTAGTTAGTTAGTTAGTTAGTTAGTAGTAGTTAGTTAGTAGTTAGTTAGTTAGTTAGTTAGTAGTTAGTTAGTTAGTTAGTTAGTTAGTTAGTAGTTAGTTAGTTAGTTAGTTAGTAGTTAGTTAGTTAGTTAGTTAGTTAGTTAGTAGTTAGTTAGTAGTAGTTAGTTAGTTAGTTAGTTAGTTAGTTAGTTAGTTAGTTAGTTAGTTAGTTAGTTAGTAGTTAGTTAGTTAGTTAGTTAGTTAGTTAGTTAGTTAGTTAGTTAGTTAGTAGTTAGTAGTTAGTTAGTTAGTTAGTTAGTTAGTTAGTTAGTTAGTTAGTTAGTTAGTTAGTAGTTAGTTAGTTAGTTAGTTAGTAGTTAGTTAGTTAGTTAGTTAGTTAGTTAGTTAGTAGTTAGTTAGTAGTTAGTTAGTTAGTTAGTTAGTTAGTTAGTTAGTTAGTTAGTTAGTTAGTTAGTTAGTTAGTTAGTTAGTAGTTAGTTAGTTAGTTAGTTAGTTAGTTAGTTAGTTAGTTAGTTAGTAGTTAGTTAGTTAGTTAGTTAGTTAGTTAGTTAGTTAGTTAGTTAGTTAGTTAGTTAGTTAGTTAGTTAGTTAGTTAGTAGTAGTTAGTAGTTAGTTAGTAGTTAGTTAGTTAGTTAGTTAGTTAGTTAGTTAGTTAGTTAGTTAGTTAGTTAGTTAGTTAGTTAGTTAGTTAGTTAGTTAGTTAGTTAGTTAGTTAGTTAGTTAGTTAGTTAGTTAGTTAGTTAGTTAGTAGTTAGTTAGTTAGTAGTTAGTTAGTTAGTTAGTTAGTTAGTAGTTAGTTAGTTAGTTAGTTAGTTAGTTAGTAGTTAGTTAGTTAGTTAGTTAGTTAGTTAGTTAGTTAGTTAGTTAGTTAGTTAGTTAGTTAGTTAGTTAGTTAGTTAGTTAGTTAGTAGTTAGTTAGTTAGTTAGTTAGTTAGTTAGTTAGTTAGTTAGTTAGTTAGTTAGTTAGTAGTTAGTTAGTTAGTTAGTTAGTTAGTTAGTTAGTTAGTTAGTTAGTTAGTTAGTTAGTTAGTTAGTTAGTTAGTTAGTTAGTTAGTTAGTAGTTAGTTAGTTAGTTAGTTAGTTAGTTAGTTAGTTAGTTAGTTAGTAGTTAGTTAGTTAGTTAGTTAGTTAGTTAGTTAGTTAGTTAGTTAGTTAGTAGTTAGTTAGTTAGTTAGTAGTTAGTTAGTTAGTTAGTTAGTTAGTTAGTTAGTTAGTTAGTTAGTTAGTTAGTTAGTAGTTAGTTAGTTAGTTAGTTAGTTAGTTAGTTAGTTAGTTAGTTAGTTAGTTAGTTAGTAGTTAGTTAGTTAGTAGTTAGTTAGTTAGTTAGTTAGTTAGTTAGTTAGTTAGTAGTTAGTTAGTTAGTAGTTAGTTAGTTAGTTAGTTAGTTAGTAGTTAGTAGTTAGTTAGTTAGTTAGTTAGTTAGTTAGTAGTTAGTTAGTTAGTTAGTTAGTTAGTTAGTAGTTAGTTAGTTAGTTAGTTAGTTAGTTAGTTAGTTAGTTAGTTAGTTAGTTAGAACAAATTATATTACATATGTGGTTATGGTTTTTACTATACTACAGATCAGTCAATAATCTTAACTGCAGATCTACACTCTCGTCTAGGGTTCTAACAATGTCTTGACTATTGATTTTCTAAGTACTCTTAACTAAATTGCAATTCTTTGAATTCAAAAAGTTTCATGAAATTCTAAAGAAAGCACAAAAATTTTCAATTTCATTTGTCTAAACAATAATATAAATAGAAGGGATTGGATCTAGTTTCAGTTGTGTGCTGAATTGTACAGAATTTATAACAATATTATAAGTAAGGTTTAGCACTGAATATAATCAGTTCGTTGTATTATGATAAGAAACATTTCTTACCACAAATATTTCTAATTGATTAATATGTATGTATATATGTACATATGTATGTGTATGTAGCAATATTTAATTTCTAAGAAAAAATATTTTATTAAGAAAATTTCGTTATTATTGCGAATTGTATAAAAATCAATAATTTTCTAATAAATATATTTATTATTTTCACAACAGTCACAGTGTAAAGTGCTATTAATAAAATTTAAACATGAAATTGTTATACTGCCTTATAATCTGGGGCCTAATACAAGTAAGTAGCCAAAAAAATAAAACTTAAAATATACATTTTATTATTTTTCTAACATTTCTCAAAAATGTTTAGTTGTTTGCAGTAAAAACTTTAAATGCCTCCTCCAGCCCTATTCTCAATATGTCAGCTGAAACAAAACGTTCGCCTTTTTATAAATATCAATTTATAACTGAGTCATCAAAGAAAACTCAAACAGTTGATGAAATACGATTTAAAAGATCGCTAACATCGAAGGCAAAGCTATGTACCGAATTAAGCAATGAACTGGAAAACCTTTTTACTCAATATCTCTCCAGGGCAATTGATATAGTCGTAGCTGTGCGAAAAGTACCTGACTTCTCTCATCTGCGTACAGAACTCAAAGATCATTTATCGGACAATATTTATGACTTTATATTCAAATACAATGCTTACAAAGAGAAGAAAGAATTGTCGAATTTAATAATTCTTTTCTACAACAACATTATTAGAAAATACATACATAATACCAATATAAGCATAAGATCACGAATTCTATTAGCTAAAATTTTTAAAACCCAAGGATTGGCTAGTTTTCAATATGACTATAAGAACAAATTCAATAGCTTTGCTCAAGATGAAGTACCCAAGAGATTTGAACATTTTAAGACATTAGCCACACAAGAAGAGTTAAACGAAATGCAATTCCTATTACAATGGGTGGATAACTACAAAACTCTAGAGATATTCCCAGAAAGAGTTCAAGCCCTGGGTCAGTTGTATGAGAAACTTATCAATATTTGAATTGTAAAAGAAATATTATATATTTTTTATAAGTTAACTGAACAAATAAAATTTATAAAATTATTAATTCTTTAAATAAAAAGTATTAAATTTAAAAACTAGACTATAGACTAGACTAGACTATAGATTAGACTATACGCTAGATTATAGACTAGACTATAGATTATACTACATACTAGATTATAGACTAGACTATAGACTAGAATATAGACTAGATTATAGACTAACTATAGACTAGACTATAGACTAGATTATAGACTAGACTATAGACTAGAATATAGACTAGATTATAGACTAGACTATAGACTAGACTATAGACTAGAATATAGACTAGACTATAGACTATACTATAGACTATACTATAGACTAGACTATAGACTAGACTATAGACTAGACTATAGACTAGACTATAGACTATACTATAGACTAGACTATAGACTAGAATATAGACTATACTATAGACTAGACTATAGACTAGACTATAGACTAGACTATAGACTAGACTATATACTAGACTATAGACTAGACTATAGACTAGACTATATACTAGACTATAGACTAGACTATAGACTAGACTATAGACTAGACTATAGACTAGACTATAGACTAGACTATAGACTAGACTATAGACTAGACTATAGACTAGACTATAGACTAGACTATAGACTAGACTATAGACTAGACTATAGACTAGACTATAGACTAGACTATAGACTAGACTACTAGACTAGACTATAGACTAGACTATAGCCTAGACTAATAGACTAGACTATAGACTAGACTATAGACTAGAGGACTACTATAGACCAGACAATAGACTAGACTATAGACTAGACTATAGAGTAGACTATAGACTAGACTATAGACTAGACTATAGACTAGACTATAGACTAGACTATAGACTAGACTATAGACTAGACTATAGACTAGACTATAGACTAAACTATAGACTAGACTATAGAGTAGACTAGATTATAGACTAGACTATAGACTAAACTTTAGACTAGACTATAGACTAGACTATAGACTAGGCTATAGACTAGACTATAGACTAGACTATAGACTAGGCTATAGACTAGACTATAGATTAGACTATAGACTAGACTATAGACTAGACTATAGACTAGACTATAGACTAGACTATAGACTAGACTAAAGACTAGAATATAGACTAGACTATAGACTAGACAATAGACTAGACTATAGACTGGACAAGACTATAAACTGACTATAGACTGGACTGTAAACTAGACTATAGATTAGGCTATAGATTAGACTACAGGCTGGACTACAGACTAGACTATAGACTAGACTATCGTACTAGACTATAGACTAGACTATAGACTAGACTATAGAACTAGACTATAGGACTAGCTATAGACTAGACTATAGACTGACTATAGACTAGACTAGACTAGACTATAGACTAGACTATAGACTAGACTATAGACATAGACTATAGACTAGACTATAGACTAGACTATAGACTAGACTATAGACTAGACTAGACTAGACTACTAGACTAGACTATCGACCTAGACTAGACTAGACTATAGACTAGACTTAGACTAGACTATAGACTAGACTATAGACTAGACTATAGACTAGGACTATAGACTAGACTATAGACTAGACATAACTAGACTAAGACTACGATAGACTAACTATAGACTAGACTATGCTAGAGTCGACTAGACTATAGACTAGACTATAGACTAATTAGGACCTAGGACTATAGACCTAGACTATAGACTAGACTATAGACTAGACTATAGACTAGACTATAGACTAGACTATAGACTAGACTATAGACTAGACTATAGACTAGACTATAGACTAGACTATAGACTAGACTATAGACTAGACTATAGACTAGACTATAGACTAGACTATAGACTAGACTATAGACTAAACTATAGACTAGACTATAGACTAGACTATAGACTAGACTATAGACTAGACTATAGACTAGACTATAGACTAGACTATAGACTAGACTATAGACTAGACTATAGACTAGACTATAGACTAGACTAGACTAGACTATAGACTAGACTATAGACTAGACTATAGACTAGACTATAGACTAGACTAGACTAGACTATAGACTAGACTATAGACTAGACTATAGACTAGACTATAGACTAGACTATAGACTAGACTATAGACTAGACTATAGACTAGACTATAGACTAGACTATAGACTAGACTATAGACTAGACTATAGACTAGACTATAGACTAGACTATAGACTAGACTATAGACTAGACTATAGACTAGACTATAGACTAGATATAGACTAGACTATAGACTAGACTATAGACTAGACTATAGACTAGACTATAGACTAGACTATAGACTAGACTATAGACTAGACTATAGACTAGACTATAGACTAGACTATAGACTAGACTATAGACTAGACTATAGACTAGACTATAGACTAGACTATAGACTAGACTATAGACTAGACTATAGACTAGACTATAGACTAGACTATAGACTAGACTATAGACTAAGACTATAGACTAGACTATAGACTAGACTATAGACTAGACTATAGACTAGACTATAGACTAGACTATAGACTAGACTATAGACTAGACTATAGACTAGACTATAGACTAGACTATAGACTAGACTATAGACTAGACTATAGACTAGACTATAGACTAGACTATGACTAGACTAGACTAGACTATAGACTAGACTATAGACTAGACTATAGACTAGACTATAGACTAGACTATAGACTAGACTATAGACTAGACTATAGACTAGACTATAGACTAGACTATAGACTAGACTATAGACTAGACTATAGACTAGACTATAGACTAGACTATAGACTAGACTATAGACTAGACTATAGACTAGACTATAGACTAGACTATAGACTAGACTATAGACTAGACTATAGACTAGACTATAGACTAGACTATAGACTAGACTATAGACTAGACTATAGACTAGACTATAGACTAGACTATAGACTAGACTATAGACTAGACTATAGACTAGACTATAGACTAGACTATAGACTAGACTATAGACTAGACTATAGACTAGACTATAGATAGACTATAGACTAGACTATAGACTAGACTATAGACTAGACTATAGACTACACTATAGAATAGACTATAGACTAGACTATAGACTAGACTATAGACTAGACTATAGACTAGACTATAGACTAGACTATAGACTAGACTATAGACTAGACTATAGACTAGACTATAGACTAGACTATAGACTAGACTATAGACTAGACTATAGACTAGACTATAGACTAGACTATAGACTAGACTATAGACTAGACTATAGACTAGACTATAGACTAGACTATAGACTAGACTATAGACTAGACTATAGACTAGACTATAGACTAGACTATAGACCTAGACTATAGACTAGACTATAGACTAGACTATAGACTAGACTATAGACTAGACTATAGACTAGACTATAGACTAGACTATAGACTAGACTATAGACTAGACTATAGACTAGACTATAGACTAGACTATAGACTAGACTAGACTATAGACTAGACCAGACTAGACTATATTCTACACTATAGACTAGACTATAGACTAGCGTATAGATTACACTGTAGACTAGACTATAGACTTTATAGTAAGTAATTATAAAACTAAAATTATTTAAATTTTTTCCATAATATTTTACTTTATTTCACGCAATTAATTTATAGCAAATTATAAAAATCCCAAAATTGTTCAAATCTCTCATTGTAATGATATAAGCTTTTCAGTTTTTCAAGCTGTCCAGTAGAGGTTTTCTCTCGCTCCATTGTCTGCTGAAGTATTTTAGCTTTAAATTCATCAACTTTCTTAGAGGACAATACGATCTATGAAATCTTTAAATTTTATTTCATAATCTAAATATAATTTAGCATAACCATGTGCATTAAAGATTTCCACAATCAGGTTATGATCCGGTTTAGAAATATCCATATTAAAGTAATATTTCTGTAGGATAGTGCTATTGAAAATTTCATGTTCCTTCTGTAAGTCATTAATGTCTTCAGTAATTTCAAATTTCATAAGGAATTCATTTATATCTATAGTCAAGCGATGCTTAAGCGGTGTACTAATTTGCAGAAGTTTCGGATCTTTTAGTACACTCTGCAATAGCTCGAAGGCCGTATAGCAGTAGAACATATTAAGAAAACCCAACTGATCTTGAACGTACTCTTGTAGCTCCTCTTTTGGTGTCTGGTCCTTGAGTATAAAGGTATTGAAATGTTCCGACATGCAATCAAAATCCGTACACATTTTTAACTCTTTAAACCAGTTTAATAATTCATCGTGTTGCTTTAACTCTTGCGGCGATAGCTGATCCTTGACTTCTTTGAATTTGGGTATAAATTTTAGTTTAATAAATTTTTCATATTTACTCTCATAATTCATATTTATAATATCATATCCCTGTTCTTGTAATAACTCCCAAATATATTGTAAATCATTGTTGTTGCTGTAGGTTTCATGGATTTTCTCATCAAATAGTAGAGCCAATTCGTTTACTAAATCAAAATGTTTATACATAGGATAATCGTGTAAGAAATCGGTTATATTCTTTTTAAACTCTTTCATAACAGGTGTTGAGGCCTGCTGCACTCTTTTATCCTTTAGTAATTGTTTACACAAATTATTTGCTTCTGTCAAGAAATTTCTCGATATAGATTTTAATTCTTTCCTATAGAAATCCAGTAGCTGTTCCTTTAGAGCATTTGTATTGGTTGAAGAAGTGGCTGGAGAAGGTTTTATTAGCATTAACTGTTTAGAAAATTTTTAATAAATTATTATTAATTATTTTTTTTTAATATAAAATGTAAGTCTTACTTGTAGTATACCCCATATTATAACAGTGTATAACAGTTTCATTTTTCTCTTTTGTTTAATTTACACTTTCTACCTCAACTGCTAATGAAATAATAAATTTATTTATTACAAGAAAAAACTGCTTCAATTATAAATGAAATATAGAAGTGATTAGTCACTCAAGCTATATTTCTCAAAGAAGTGATTTCTATTTATACCCTTCACCTTCGTGAGAACTTCATATACATATATAAGTTTGTCATTCCATTTGTAATTTCTATAATATAATTTCCCGACCTTATATATATTCTGAGTCCTTATAGATAGCTTAGTCGATTATGCTGTGTCTGTCTGTAAGTCCGTCTGTGTGGTTTTGTCCATTATTTATGAACCGATTTTCAATAGGAAACTTTTCGAAAGTATGTCCAACAGAATTATTGAAGATTTGGATCCCGAAGATCCAGAAAATTGATTTCAACAGGCATACATACAGACGGACAGACAGACAGACAGACAGACAGACAAACGGACGGATGGACGGACAGATACACAGACAGACAGACAGACGGACAGACAGACAGACAGACAGACAGACAGACAGAAGGACAGACAGACAGACAGACAGACAGACGGACATGGCTTAATTGACTCCGCTATCTAAAAGGATCTGAAATATATACATATATTTTATAAGGTCCGAAAATTATATTGTAGAAATCACAAACGGAATGACAAAGTTATATATACCCTTCTCACGAAGCTGAATGGTTATAACAACAACAGCTATAAAACATTGTTTTTAAAAATTAAAATTTGATAATGGATTCTTATTTGCAACTTTGGTACCAACGACTGTTTTGTACTTTCTCGTTCTTTAATTGGTACTTTTTGAGTTTTTTATAAAATTTAACCTAGAAACATGAAATTAATCACTTAGAGCCGGGAGTATGAGAATCTATAAAAGGGGACTTTTTGGTACTTTCATGAACTTTAACTGGTACTTTTAAAATTTTTTATAATATAAAAACATGAAATTAAATATTCATGTTTCTGGGGATTTTTGGTACTTTTCCGTTAATCAATTGGTTCTTTCAGGCTTACTGCAATATTGAACATGGAAACCTATAATCTGGCATAACTACATATATACTGATGTAATGAAAACCTATAAAAGGGAACTTTTTGACACTTTTTGTTCCTCAACTGGTACTTTTTCAATCCTTATAACACTGAACCTTAAAATGCAGAATGCAGCATACTGATAGAAATACAATTGATAAAAGGGGAGTTTCTGGTATTTTTTCTTTATTCGAATAGTACTTACTTTTCCTAAATTATTCAAACTTGGAACATAAAATCATACCTGTAAGACCTTTATGGAATGAAAATTTATAAGGGTAAATTGTTTGGTACTATTTCGTTCTTCAATTGGTACTTTTTCAATCTTTCTTATATTAAAGTTGAAACATGGTTGAATATAGTTAGTTAGTTAGTTAGTTAGTTAGTTAGTTACTTAGTTACTTAGTTACTAGTTAGTTAGTAGTAGTTAGTTAGTTAGTTAGTTAGTTAGTTAGTTAGTTAGTTAGTTAGTTAGTTAGTTAGTTAGTTAGTTAGTTAGTTAGTTAGTTAGTTAGTAGTTAGTTAGTTAGTTAGTAGTTAGTTAGTTAGTTAGTTAGTTAGTTAGTTAGTAGTTAGTTAGTTAGTAGTAGTTAGTTAGTAGTTAGTTAGTAGTTAGTTAGTTAGTTAGTTAGTTAGTTAGTTAGTTAGTTAGTAGTTAGTAGTTAGTTAGTTAGTTAGTTAGTTAGTTAGTAGTTAGTTAGTTAGTTAGTTAGTTAGTTAGTAGTTAGTTAGTTAGTTAGTTAGTTAGGTTAGTTAGTAGTTAGTTAGTTAGTTAGTTAGTTAGTTAGTTAGTACGTTAGTAGTTAGTTAGTTAGTAGTTAGTTAGTTAGTTAGTTAGTTAGTTAGTTAGTTAGTTAGTTAGTTAGTTAGTTAGTTAGTAGTTAGTTAGTTAGTAGTTAGTTAGTTAGTTAGTTAGTTAGTTAGTTAGTTAGTTAGTTAGTTAGTAGTTAGTTAGTTAGTAGTTAGTAGTTAGTTAGTTAGTTAGTTAGTTAGTTAGTTAGTTAGTAGTTAGTTAGTTAGTTAGTTAGTTAGTTAGTAGTTAGTTAGTTAGTTAGTTAGTTAGTTAGTTAGTTAGTTAGTTAGTTAGTTAGTTAGTTAGTTAGTTAGTTAGTAGTTAGTTAGTTAGTTAGTTAGTAGTTAGTTAGTTAGTTAGTTAGTTAGTTAGTTAGTAGTTAGTTAGTTAGTTAGTTAGTTAGTTAGTTAGTTAGTTAGTTAGTTAGTTAGTAGTTAGTTAGTTAGTTAGTTAGTTAGTTAGTTAGTTAGTAGTTAGTTAGTTAGTTAGTTAGTTAGTTAGTTAGTTAGTTAGTTAGTTAGTTAGTTAGTTAGTTAGTAGTTAGTTAGTTAGTTAGTTAGTTAGTTAGTTAGTTAGTTAGTTAGTTAGTTAGTTAGTTAGTTAGTTAGTTAGTTAGTTAGTTAGTTAGTTAGTTAGTTAGTTAGTTAGTTAGTTAGTTAGTAGTTAGTTAGTTAGTTAGTTAGTTAGTTAGTTAGTTAGTTAGTTAGTTAGTTAGTTAGTAGTTAGTTAGTTAGTTAGTTAGTTAGTAGTTAGTTAGTTAGTAGTTAGTTAGTTAGTTAGTTAGTTAGTTAGTTAGTTAGTTAGTTAGTTAGTTAGTTAGTTAGTTAGTTAGTTAGTTAGTTAGTTAGTTAGTAGTTAGTTAGTTAGTTAGTTAGTTAGTTAGTTAGTTAGTTAGTTAGTTAGTTAGTTAGTTAGTTAGTTAGTTAGTTAGTTAGTTAGTTAGTTAGTTAGTTAGTTAGTTAGTTAGTTAGTTAGTTAGTTAGTTAGTTAGTTAGTTAGTTAGTTAGTTAGTTAGTTAGTTAGTTAGTTAGTTAGTAGTTAGTTAGTTAGTTAGTTAGTTAGTTAGTTAGTTAGTTAGTTAGTTAGTTAGTTAGTTAGTAGTTAGTTAGTTAGTTAGTTAGTTAGTTAGTTAGTTAGTTAGTTAGTTAGTTAGTTAGTTAGTTAGTTAGTTAGTTAGTTAGTTAGTAGTTAGTAGTTAGTTACTTTAGTCCGTATTCTAATTAGTTACTTAGGTGGGAAGGTACTTAATTTCCCTTTTTGGTCGCTGGTGCGTATAATTGATCTTATTTCTTAAGTAAAAGGTCATACAATTTTAATGATAAAATATTTTATTTGATAAAATAGCATTTCTTAAATTAAACCAAAATGTAATAGCATTCAGTTCAGATAAATAATATTCAAAATTACTTTAAATATCGGATTAATATCTTAGTTAATATATTTTTGGAAATAGTACTTAGTAATTGAATTTTCAATATCTTTAATATTAGTCAAACCTTTCAATTGATCATACCACTCTAGTAAATCCTGTTCTTCGGCCAAATCTTTCTTATTAAGTGTTGCCTTAAATTGTTGAAATTTTTGGAAAAGGCCTTCATGTATAAACTGCTTCATTTTCTCTTCATATTGAGTTAAAAATTTCTTATAAGCTCCTTCCTCATCAAAAAGTTGTTTAACAAGCTGTTGATCTTTTAGTGGAATAGTTGAATTAAAGTAATATTTGTCCTCAATATTATCATCAAAATCGTCTATTAAATTTATTAATTCTGTCAAACTATCGTGTTTTTCGTATTTATTAATGAAGTTTTGGAGATCTTTTGTAAGATTTCTCTTTAAAGCGGGACTAAGCAGTGCTAGTTTTGATGACTTTAATAAGCGTTGAGCGATTTCGTATTCACTTGTGCCAACAAACATATAAAGATTATCCAGATTGTCAGTGTAATAGAGTAGTAATTCGTTTCTTGGTGTTTTGTTCTCAAACATAAACATATCAATGTATTTCCACTGACATCGATAGTCGGGACACATTTTCAAGTTATTGCCCCAGTTTATTAAGGCTTTTTTATGTTCTTCAAATTTGGGTAGAAATTTTTGTTTAATAAATTTATCATATTGCCTTTCATAATCATCTCTTAGTTGTTTATAACCGTATTTGTTTAATAATTTCATTACAATGTTGAACTTAAACTTCTGAATTATATTTTCCCATTGAAGTATCAATACATTGTAAAGATCATAACGCATATAGGAATCATAATTATAAAGATAATCAGTTATATTATTTTGAAACTCTTTCATTGGTTGTGATTTAGAATTTTGTAATTCGTTATCCGTTAGTAATTTTCTGGCAACGGTTTTGAGTTTTTTACAAAATTCTTTTTCTATAATTTCTACACCTTCATCAAAGTAGTCCTCCAGCTGCTGCTTGCCCAACACTATCGAAAAGTTGTTGGAGGCTTGCAAAGGTTTTATGGCAAATAGCTTAAGAAAATTTGAAAATTATTGATAATATTTTAAACAAAATATTTAAAACTTACTGCTATAATGCCAAAAATTAGGAAATAATTTAATTCTTTCATGATTTTTTCATTCAATTTAATTCACACTTAGTTGTTTATTGCAGCAATAAATTTACTTCATTTTAATTACGGCTTTTATAGCATTAAGAGAAACGGAAAAACTATTTTGATTATATCGATTGTTTACTACTCCGGCATATAAAAATATATGTGGTTAATATAATACACTAATTGCTTTAACTTTTGTATTTATAGAATAGTGCTGAATCTTTTACTATAAATACAACATGTAGCTGTATATGCATAGCTATTATTCTGAA